TTGCTTTTGCAAACTGTGACATGATCTCTTCTCTTGTAGGCAGTTTGAAATGTTCTCTCCTTATTGCTCTATTCAGGTCTCTAGGATCCATGCAAACCCTGAGCTTTCCAGTCTTTTTCTCCACAATAACAAGAGAACTCACCCACTCCGTTGGTTCATCAACATTTTCAATCACTCCCATGTTTTCCATCCTGTCCAACTCGGCTTTTAGTGGCTTTTGTAGAGCAAATGGTACTTTGCGGCATGGATGAATGACTGGTTTAACCCTTTCATCGACTCTGATTGTGTGTTCTCCAGCAAGGCAACCAAGTCCCTGAAACAGGTCACCATATTCCTTCATCAACTCATTATAATCCATGTCATCATCAGTTTCCACGACCAGCACTCTTTTCACTAGGATCAGACTCTCACAGGCATGTAACCCTAGTATGGACTGCACATTCTTTGGCACCACGATGAACGTTAGCGTGTGCTCCTTGTCCTTGTGTGTCACTTTAACCATGCATTTTACTTTTACAGGTATTTCTGAACTGAATATCCACTCGCTTTCATCGACGTAGCATGCATTTTGGGTCTAGGTCTGATTCTCTTGAACTCTGCTTCAGATATGACGTTCACTTGAGCTCCAGTATCCAGCTTGACTTTCATGAGTGTGTCATTTACTTTGAGAGTCATTATCCAGTCCTTTCCTCCTGTTTTATTGTCTGTCACTGCAGCTACGTAGAGCTCCTCTGTGTCGTCTTCATCCACAGTATGAACTGAACTTTGTTTCAGGGTTTGAACTTTGCAGCACCTAGCATAATGGTTATTTTTGTTACAAATATTGCATTTTTTCCCATATGCCGGACATTTTTTAGGAGGATGTTGCATCCTGCAGCGACCACAAGTCTTTTCCTTTCTGTCCCAGTTCGCTGGCGATTTCAATTGCAGTTTCACTTCAGCAGCAGCACTCTTTTTTGACCCTGTGTGTGTTCTTTTTTACAGCATCCACTCTGCAGCTGTCACTCAGCAGTTCTTTGGCTTGTGCCCTCACTGTTTCAGCTGCTCTGCACAGTGTTAATGCTTTGTCCAGGTCAAGATTTTCCTCTCTCAGTAGCCTCTCTCTCAATCTGTCGTCTGGAATCCCACACACAAGTCTGTCTTTTATCAAAGAGTCTGTCAGTCCTCCAAATTCACATGTTTTACTCCTGTTCTGCAGCTCTGTGACGTACTGATCTATTGTCTCCCCTGTCTTCTGTACACATGTGAAGAATCTGTGCCTCTCAAACGTCACATTTCTCTTAGGTATGCAGTAACCCTCAAACTTCTCCATCATTTCATCCAGCTTCATTCCGTCACCATCAGGAAACGTGAAGTTATTATAGACTTCCAGCGCCTCATCACCCACTACATGCAAAAACACTGACGCTTGCTTTTCATCACTTGCCTCGTCGAGTCCAATTGCTGACAGGTACAACGTGAAACATTGCTTAAATCTTCTACAATTTTCAGCCACATTTCCAGTCAACTGAAGAATCGGTGGTGGGTGTAAGCCTTCCATGCTCACGTTGCTAGGTCTCTTTTTTCCTTCTTCCCCCTCGGCGAGTTAGCTACACCACGTTCACTGCCACGCTGATCCGTCGGTACAGCTATATAGTTGTCCGTCACCTTTCTTCAAGACCAACTTCTGACACCATGTCTTGTTTCTTATATTGTTGTGGGTTCTCAATAATGACACCATTACTTGAAGAGAAGGTACTTTATCGAACTCAGGCTCACATGCGACAACCAAGCTTCGCCATCACTGTCCCAGACTGCGGGTCATCTCCATCCCCACTGGCTCCCCCTACCGTCTAGGAGTATTAACAACATAACCCATGATACTAAGCAAATAATGATTTGCTGTTATCATTACAGGGTTCATTTCAAGATCCAGGTTCTGGGGTCTCATCTATCAAACATTGCGTAGAATCCTTACTAAAACCGTACTTAAGCTCAGCAACAAAAAAAGAACTTACCAAGCAGGTTTGTGATCTATCAAACATGGAGTACGCACAGCTGCACGCAATCTCTGCTTCATAAATAGGAGAATGTTTCTCAGCTGCATTTTAGTCACATCCCGCCCTCACCACACCCACTTACTGCCATAAATAGTCAATGCAAAGTGCCCTGTGGATCTCATGCATATACATAAGCCGGCTGTTGCAGCGCTTCGCCAATGACGAGGCGCGATCCTCTGCGCCTCTCGAGGGGGGCGGGGGCTTTTCTGGTCGCAGTCTGCCTGGGGTTCCTGTGCTCTGGGGCAGCTCCTGGATCTCTGGGACTTGGAGCTCCCTCCGTCTCCTACACATCTTTAGGGGGCAGATCTGTGGTCCCTCATACTCTCTATTGGATGCTCCTATAGTAAACCTTACATAAACAAGCGCGTGTACACACACAGGTGCTCACATGGTGCTCTCAAAAGTATGGACTTGGGCACGTTCAACACATGTCTTAAGGCTATGTTGGGCACTTAATGCACTGTGATTTATTATAGTGTGATTGTTCAGTAAAACAATGTTGATTTTATATTTCTTCATCAAGTTGACGCAGTGAGAGCTTGATCTTGTTGTATTGTTGTTGTGTCCCTTTTTTTGTTTTATTTTCTTCTCTTTCTGCAGGTCTAGAAGCAGATTCTTGTTCATTATTGTTTATTTTTGTGAACCCCCCCCCCCCCCCACACACACACACACACACACACACACACACCTCCTTCCCCCCTTCTCCTCACCTTTTGTCTTTTTCTTTCTCTTTCACCTCTGTCTCCGTGACTGGTCAGAATTACAAAGCATTCAAAAACAATAACAATAAAGTTTTAAGTATCAGGCGTGACATTAAAAGCAGACGCTTTGATGCTCCACCTGAGAGTAAATCTGTAAGGCTTGTTACCAGCATTCAGACATCAATTCTGCTTGCTTCACAGCCAGACAGGACATGGGGGGGGGGGGGGACCTTACAAAACTTACTGTGGTTATTCCTCACCTGCCCCTGAACAATCAATGGTCAATGGGATGCCATCATCTAAGCTCTGCCCCCCACAAGACAGAAAAGGTCATGTTTTACGCTAAAGCGAGCCAATTTTACCCATTTCACTGTCTGGGCAGTAAAGAGAATTATAAAAATATTTGATCAAACATGCAATCCTGAAAATTTAAAGTTAGTCATCTTTTTGTTAAAGCACTTCAATACAGGCCACTTAATCTTTATATTGATTCAGGTGTTCTTATGTGATCTGTTTAAACTGAATAATCCATATATGATATGTGCACTTTTATGTTGAATAGTTCACTGATGATTTGTACACCTTTATATTGAGTTTTACCCATATCTGATCTATGCATGCTAAATTGGTTTAAGTTTCAGCTGAATGTATGAGGAGTGTAGCAACCAGAAATGGTCCATTTTTCCTCTACAGTTTGTCCTCTTCGGTATCCGGTCATATAGAGACATAATTCTGACTCTGTGTGCCCTATCTAATATTCCAGGCAGCAAGAAAGATTCTGCAAATGCATGTTGACATCTCACGACATTGTCAACATGCTCCCTTCCCAAGGTTCTTCCCTGCCAAGCTGCTGTTATCTATTCCTTGCTTCACAGAACAAAAGATGAACTTTTTAAATTAAATCATAATGAAATGAACAATATGAGTTAATTAATCATATGGCAGGTGTTAAATTAAACGTTTTGATTAATCTGCTTAAGTTAATAAGGTTGATTAATCTGTGCTTAAATTAATATGGATGAATTCAATGTGTTCTCTCAATGACCCATATAATTAATCAGTGTACGTGGCTTGACAGCTCACACACTCAGACACATGACAAGATAATAAGGTTAAAGTAATCTCATGACACATTGCTTTCTTATCCACAAATCAAAGCATCCTGTGTCTAAGAAAGGTGTGGTTTCTGAGGTTTGTTGGTAAAACCTCCTTAACATGTCAAATTCTGATTTGTCAGTATATCTTAACATAGGATTATAAAACTAGAATCCCTTCCCTAGTTAATTCAGTTTGAGCAGAATTCCGGACTGACCAACCCGGAATAAACTCACTGAATCACTGCATCCTTGACAAGCCGTCAGAGTCTGCCTGCAAGCTGACACAGCGCCGACTCCTCCAGAGTCCATTCTTAGACGCAATCAACCTTCATGCTGTTGTGATCCGGGAGACGACTCTGGACTGATTTGGTCGCATTGCGGTTAATCTACGAACTTCAGTACCTGACTTAATGTGATAAAGCAGCTTAATGAACAAAGTAGTATTGGAAGTACAGTCAGTATTGGAAGGGTCCCAAATTGTTTCAGCCTGTCGAAAACTGTTGTAACATACCAAATGGCCATGTTTTTCATCAAAAATGACCAGACTGGTAAATGGCCTGTATTTGATAAAGCGCCTTCTAGAGTCATGGAACCCCCCAAGGCACTTTACAACACAATCAGTCATTCACCCATTCACACACACATTCACACACTGGTGGGGATGAGCTACGATGTAGCCACAGCGGCCCTGGGGCGCACTGACAGAGGCGAGGCTGCAGAGCACTGGCGCCACCGGTCCCTCCGACCACCACCAGCAGGCAATGTGGGTTAAGTGTCTTGCCCAAGGACACAACAACAGCAACAGACTGAGCAGGGCTTGAACCTGCAACCTTCCGATCATGGGGCCACCATCGCCCCGAAGTTAACTTTTAACTTGCAAGCCAAACTTCTTCATGCAGGTCAATCTGACACCGTGGTGCCGATATGAAGAAATGAACTTGAGTAATATTGATGGCTAATCCTGCCTACATCATGAGACCTCAAGGCTTCAAGAGACGCAGGGCTTCTGATCCTTTACTCTGAATAAAGTCTACCATCCCTGACATTAATTACTTTAAAACTTTATAAAACCATATTTTGTTGAATGAACAATTTGTTTAAATCTAAAGTGTTTTAATAATGTGTCCTATACTCTACATTAATGAATGATGGGTTAACATGAATGTTTTATTCCTGTAATGATTTATTTAAGGTCTTAGATTACACCAGATCAGTATTTGTTGAATTAATGATTTAATCTTTCAGTATGAACATAATGATATCAAAATATTATCGGTAATGTTTAACATTTCTGCTCCACATAACTGTTAGAACATTTTTACATCACACTAAGAATAACCTCTAAGTATCTGAGTGAAGGAATGATTTTCTGAGGTATTTGTTGTCTTTAAAACTTGTCAAATTGTGATTTGTCTAAATTTGTAAAGAACAGTTAACAAAAAGTTAGAGCACTTCCTGATCTAACCAGTTATGTGCCAGCTTGCTCGGTAGGCCAACCGGGTGAGCAAAGCACTTGGGACCATCCTCTCTTTTGATTCAAAATCAAAAGCCTCTCTGCAACGCTTGCCAGGGGTTTCAGACGCTACAACACCTCAGATGGAGAACATCTAACTAGCAGACCCTGGTAGCATCTCATGGCCGGTGATATCTGAACTCAAAGGGAACTAAGACTCTTTGGATTCGAGGAGCCATTCCATCTGGTGACATCACCAATCTGGCTGCCTTTCCTCCGGACTGATCAAGAGCTGCCATCACACAAGGGTATTGTAGACCTGAACACTGGCGTCGGATGAGTTTATGAATAATAAATAGCTTGTTAAACCATACAGTCAGGCTGATTTTACAACCCAGACATCACAAGATCTCTCAGATACTTAACAAGGTTTTGCTACAAAACATCTTAGCTTACATTCAATCATTTCATTCGTACTTTGGCATGTATAATCACTAGTTTAGAAATATAGAATTAGATTCTTTTTATAACTATATACTTGACTTTGTCTGAATTAATATGAAGCATGTGTTCCCTGAATAGTCCAAACAACATAAGGTAATATTAAACTGAATATTCAAAGACCAATCAGATATGGACTATCACATCTTATTGATCATTTAACAGATATGCAGCCACATCCAAAATGCTGCACTGTTTACGTACAAAAATAATGATCCTAGCATGTTCTGATGTAATCGTTGACTGTTTCAGAGGTCTTTGAAACCACAGAGTTGCACTCGCTCCCGCCGGTAGAGCTCCTGCACCGATGGCTCTGTCAGCATGCCCAGCTCATGCTCCCTGTCGCTGGACTGGGAGAAGTCGTCAGGACCCCCTCCACAGCCACCCTCCTGGGTATAACTGGGGTACCCTGGGTGAACCATGAGCTCTGCTGTCACCACAGCTGGATGCAGGCCAGATAAACTCTTTGAGGTACTGTCTGAAGGACCTGCTGCCAGAGCTTGTTTGAGGGCCCTCTGCAGGCTGGCGGAGGACATGTTCTGACCCATGGTGGTCAGGCCCAGGTACACATCCGGCCACCTAGGGACAAAACAAAGTTTTACATTCTAACAACAGGTTTTAGATGTGAGAAGAACATTCCATCTCAGAAGAAACCATGGACAGGCTGTGTGGGTGTGGACACAAACACATATGAATCACAGTTTCCAAGATGGCGGTGAGTGACTAAGAAGCATGGTTGAGCTCCTGACGGGTTTCCTTTAGTTTCCTTTGTAAAAGTGTTTTTTAGTCCATCTTAACATAAAGCTCGTTGCCTATTGCTTTGTTTTAGTCCTTAGGTGTGTTGTTGTCCCTAGAAGACTCAGTGGAACGGCAACAAATCCTAAAAGTAACAGAAGGACTTGCGCCGCAGCCGCAGAAGCTACTGCATGCCTGGGCCAGAATGATTTTGGAGCCCTAGCAAGTCATATATGTTTAGGTGGAAACATCACATAATCATGGCACGGAAGAATCAATTCTCTGAGATGTTTAAAGTAAAACTGAAAGATGGCATAGTGGTTGTTTGTGAGTGAGGGAAATATGGAGCGTGAGATCGATAGGAAGATCGGTGCTGCATCTACAGTACTGCGGGCGTTAAGGCGGTCTGTCGTAATGAAGAGAGAGCTGAGCCGGAAGGCGAAGCAGAATGCTTTTACTGGTCGATCTACGTTCCTAACCTCATGACGGTCACAAGCTTTGGGAAGTGACCCAAAAAAACAAAATCGCGGCAGAAAATGAGTTTTCTCAGCCAGTTGGCTGGGCTCTTCCTTAGTGCTAGTTTCTCTGCACTGACCATCGGTGTTGTATTGGGCTACATTTAAGATCCTCCTCCATGTGTTCAGGGTGCTGCAGGGCAGTGCTCCCTCATACCTTGCTGAACTGCTGCAGCAGTGTGTCTCCACTCGGGCCGACTCTGTTGGCTCAGAGGTTTGAACAACGCAAATCATCCAATGGGATCCTGAGATGTCTTTGTGCATAACTCTTATTTACCATGTGTGCATGGCACGCAGAGGGAGTGTTTACCTGCAGCGCTGACTCTCTCTCGCTTGCATTTAATGACGAGAGGAGCTTTTCAGATAGTTTGCTGGTTTTCTCGGCATCTTATTTTTACAATGGCTGAAAAAAAACGAAGTTTTTTTTTTACTACTAAAGAGGTCCTGGATATGTTTGTTGATGATGGCAGTGCTAACGTGTGTCCGGTGGATTCATCTTCTCATGAGGAGGATTTAGTCATCACAGATCCAGACCATAGTAACCTGGATTATGAAATATCTTCTTCAGAAAGGTATGTAACCCGTGTCCCTCTACTCTTTTCTTTGACTTTATGTAAAATTACTGATAAATTTACCAAATTATATATATATACATATATATATATATATATATATATATGTATATATGTATACATATATATATATATATGTATATATATATATATATATATATGTATACATATATATATATATATGTATACATATATATATATATATATGTATACATATATATATATATATATATATGTATACATATATATATATATGTATACATATATATATATATATATATGTATATATATACATATATATATATATATTTATATATATATATACATACATATACAGGTCCTTCTAAAAAAATTAGCATATTGTGATAAAGTTCATTATTGTCTGTAATGTACTGATAAATATTAGACTTTCATATATATTAGATTCATTACACACAACTGAAGTAGTTCAAGCCTTTTATTGTTTCTAATATTGATGATTTTGGTATCGTTATGGAAATTTTATATTTCATTACTTTAATTCTATTGACAAATGTATTACCTTATGCCTGAAGCATTCTCTCTCTCTCTCTCTCTCTCTCTCTCTCTCTCTCTCTCTCTCTCTCTCTCTCTCTCTCTCTCTCTCTCTCTCTCTCTCTCTCTCTCTCTCTCTCTCTCCTCTCTCTCTCTCTCTCTCTCTCTCTCTCTCTCTCTCTCTCTCTCTCTCTCTCGTCTCTCTCCTCTCTCTCTCTCTCTCTCTCTCTCTCTCTCTCTCTCTCTCTCTCTCTCTCTCTCTCTCTCTCCTCTCTCTCTCTCTCTCTCTCTCTCTCTCTCTCTCTCTCTCTCTCTCTCTCTCTCTCTCTCTCTCTCTCTCTCTCTCTCTCTCTCTCTCTCTCACACACACATTCTTGTCTCCTTGTAACTTCAATACAAGCTCTCTGTGTGGGTTTGCCAACTATGTACATTGATGGCAGTCCTTTCGACAGGGTGCTGAACCTAGTTCAGGTGTGGGTGTCGTTTGGTCACACGCTGAACAGAAAGACTCTTGGTGTTACAAGTTGGGTTCGAAGACCTCACAGTTCGCAGAAGTGGCTAGGATCCTGATAGTGCTACAACTTGCTGCTCATCATAGTGTCCGCGAGCTGGTGATCTGCACTGACTCAGACTACGCATGTCTCAGTTTCACCTGCCATCTACCCTCTTGGAAAAGTAGCAGGTTCTAAACTCTAACCGGAAGCCCGTTAAACACAGACTTTTGCATGACATGTGACGCCCTAGCAATCTTACATGACATGCAGATCTATTAGCTTAAAGTCAAAGGTCATTCCCGTGCACCAGGAACTGATGAGGAAATCAGTGACCTTACAGACTTTCTTGTCAAACAAGGTGCAGCTGTCGGTACCCCATGGTCCTTCAACCCCTTGTGATTCCCTGACAACGTGTTTTGTCAGTCGGACCCACCACACGTGTGTCGTGACTGGGGTTGGACATCGAGCATCGATTGGAACCGGGACCAGACCAACTGTTAGTTTTTCCCGGAATCCTTCAAAGTTTTTTATGTTGATTCCTAGTTTCGATTCCTAGTATGCCGACCGGAAGAAGAATCCGTGGCCGATCTCCGTGAAAAATAAACATGGTCTGCAAATTGTGATCAACGCTTTTCAGAGCTGATCACACCAGCTGTCTGTGTGCAGCACCGAGTCTCCCCTCCCCCCACCCGGCGCGCAGCGGCCAAATATAAACAAACGCGTCTGCTGAACTTTTACTCCGTAATGTAAACTTTAACTCCTGCAGCGTAGAGGAAATGTGTTAAATACGTCAACACGGTGGATTTAATAGAAGCTTTAAAGAACAAACTCTGGACGGTGGTGAGAGGCGAGTTTGTCTCACTGCAGAAATAAAAACACACACGGAGCGTCAGCAGTCAGATGCAGCCACTCACCAACACTCGTGTGTGTGTGAGCATGAGAAGGCTGAACAATAACCTGTAGAATAATTAAAGTCATCATGCTAGAGAAGCTTCTCTGTGGTGGACCACACCAGCTTCTGCCACAATAAATAATAATAATAAATCACACACAAAGTTGTGAACATTTTTATTTCCTTTCTGAACTATTTCTGTTGAGAGTTTTAATGTTTAAAATCTGTTAGCTTGTTACTGACAGCCGCTACGTTTAAGTTTCACTTCCTGTTGTGACTGAATGCTGCTGCAGCATGGAGGTGTAGTTCTCAGTCATCCTGGACATTAGAGGTGTGAATCTTCACTAGTCTCACGATTCGATTACGATTATTGTGTCAGCAATTTTATTCGATTCAATATCTCGATTCATCACGATTATTTCATATGGATTTGTTGTCATCAATAAATATATGTTAGACATTTGCTTTTTGTATTCAACAAAAACTTTTATTTGCATAAATATGCAGTAAAAAGCTTTCTGATAACAGTCCTTGGGACAGTGTAAAAGTACAAAACATTTGAAGCATTAGTTTGCATTTAAGAGGATTGCACAGCAAAAAAACAAACAAAATCTCTTTCCTCATTAAACATTCATGTCTCAGGCTGTCGGAAAAACATGTTCTGTACATGTTAACAAAATATTTAACAACTCTGAACATCCATATATGAAAAACAATTATTTGGAAAGTTTGAGGTATTCTCTCCTGTGATAACAGTCCTTATACAAAAGTGCAAAACTGTTTAAATTTAAGAGGACTTAAGAACATAAAAAAATATCTTTCCTTATTTGACATTCACTTCTCAGGCTGTGTGGGGAAAAAAACGTGTTCTTCAGATGTTCGCAAAATCTTTACCAATACTGACATATTTTGGAAAATGCACGAATAATACATAACAGTCCTTGGGACAACAAAAAGTGCAAACATTTTAACATCTGTTTGAATTTAAGAAGATGTACTGAAAAGCAATAATGATGACTAGTTAACATTTGGAAGTTGAAGGTTTTTGTGCAAGAACACCAGTTGATCTACATGCTGTGGTTTGAGAGTAGATCTTTTGGCCGTGACGTCTCCAGCAGTGGAGAAAACACGTTCTGCAGATCCACTTGCTCCAGGGATGCAAAGGTATCATTCTGACAGTCGAGCCAGGAGAGGAAACGTAACCTTGTGTACCCTCCACCAGTTTAAAGGGTCCTCAGACAGGGGCAGTGATGAAGTTTTCAAATAATTATCCAATTCCTCTTCAGCTCTGACATAGGGGGTCTTGGATTCTTCACTAACCTCAACATCATTGAAAGACTGTCCCAGCAAGCTCACAAGTAATGATGTAGGCTTTCTTTTAGCAGCCGAGGGATCGTCTGCCGAGGTTCCATCCTTCTGAACTTCGGGTTGCACCAGAACTTTCGCATGCATGGCCAGAATACACTCCTGCTGTTTAGGGAAAAAATAAAAATATCATTATTTTATCTGATGGGGAACTTACTAGTCTAACAATGTCTAAATTGTAGGGCTTTTTTAATCTTTTAAAATATTTAATAATGATTAATCACACTTTTTAAAATGTTGATGTGCCTTATCGTAATGTTTGTTTTTATTATGATAAAAGCATTCCGCTGGATTTACTCATTTTATGCTAATGTAAATAATTACTTACAGCAACACCAAACATGACAAATTATTAAGAATATTATACAGAAATGTATATGTTAATTCAAAAAGAAAGATGATGAATTTACCTCCAAACATGTTGCCTCCTCAGTCACTTCTCTGTAGACATCTGATCGCTCCTTCTCTGTCAGGAAAGGTAATCCCTTAAAGC